CCGCTGCCCCTGAGTGATACCTTGTCAGTTGCTACCGAAGGTGCCCCAGCGAGGGCACGTTGCTAGCAGAGTGTCCTGTCATATTTTCAAAAAGCTGCTCCAAATGTGTCCACCGTACGCTTGGTAGCCATTCTGGAAGTGAAACTTCAGTTCACAGAGTGCTACCAAGAGTTCTGGCTGCAAAAGCAGATCCCTCCCCTTGACCTTGGATGACATTTGAGGCGAGAGGAAAAACCTTTTGTCATTGCCTTTCGTCTGGATTGTGTGGAACTTGGGTTCGGTGTGGTCACAAATCTGCTCTCTGACAAAACACATCTGACTGCAAATAGCTAATGGCAGCGAGGCGAGGCTGCTGCTGGCCAAAGTAATGGTGGCCCAGCCCTTCGGATACTTTTTGATGTTAGTCGTGATTTTTATTGAAAAATCCTCCTCTGCTATCTTAATTTTCTGTGTGCGATGCGGTTGGTTTGCAAAACCCAGTTTGTGATTGCAAGCTTCAAAGCGGTTGATCTCCGGTAGCATCTTTCTGTACTGCATTGCATGGTGCCCGGAGAAATGGAAATACCTAAAAGAAGACAAACGTGTCCCTGCATCTTTCTATGTGTTCACTTAAAGAAGATACACACTTCCAGGGAGGCGCAGAGTTTGGGTTTGTTTTTGTTTTTTTCTGACAAGAGGGTGGTATAGCAAGTAAGTTTGAGAACCTCTGGCGAACATCAGGCCTGGTCAATGTAGTCGGACCTTGAAAGCCAAGTGCAGAATAAAGTGAGCTGATACCCTAAAACAGGGACAGGTAAGAGTAAGTCCCTGCAGAGGCAACAGTTCCTGAGTGGTCCCCCCACCCCTCACCCACCCAAGGAGTTAGAGCCTGGGGCATTGGCTTTCTGCTGGAGGCAGATGCAAACATTGGTAGTGGAAGCGGGCTGGTTGATATGCATGTGCAGGAATGGTGACTTAGGAACGAACAAAGCAGCGCCGCCTACAGCCTCTGACAGTGATGATGATGGGTGGGATGGGTGGGAGGAGGTAGAAGGCAGGGAGACGTGGCCTCTGGGCTTGCTGAGAAGGGCTGGGGGGTGGGGTGGGGCTGGGGGTAAGTGAAGCCAGGAGCCGGGCCAACAGAGCTATGTTGCTATTCTCTGCCATGGTGTCGGCTCCGCTTCACAATGAGCCCACAGGCAGCATCAAAAAGGATGCTGCCCCGCCTAGCTCCATCTTCACTCTGCAGCACGGTGTGTTATGTGGCCTTCCCATCTACGGAACGCATCTTCCAGCACTGGGGCACCTCATATTTTGTTGTGATCTACAGGATTTCGTTGACTAATTTTCGGGGAGAGGTCACCAGGCCTTTCCTCTTTGCTTTAATCTGAAGGCGTCACTGAAACCTGTCCACCGTGGGTGACCTTGCTGGTATTTGAAATACTGATGGCATCGCTTCCAGCCTTGAAAACATGCCAGCCGATGCAGGGCAACAGGGGAAGGGGTGGTATTTGCCAGACACTCAGTACCTATGCCACAGTGTTGACAGCAGACATCTCCTCTGCGGATTTGGAAGCTGAAGGCATCTTGTAGGTGAACTGCACTTATGCAATCTTGGTCCTTCCCTGTTCCTGGACATCAATGGGCAGGCAGGGGCCATGGCACAAAGGTGACACAACAGCCCCTGGGAGGATTGCATTTCCTAGTGGGGGCAGAGACCACGTGGCCCAAAGCAGCAGGGTCTTTAAAGGTGTTTGGGCCGGATTTGAACTAGGCAGCCCCCATATCCTCGTCGGCTCCTCAGGAGCATAAAACTTCAAGGTCTCCATTTCCAGCCTCTCGGGAGGATGAATGACTGTGGAAGTCTGCATCTCTTGCCCCAGCCTTCCAAGGAGCTTCTCTCTCCAGGCCAAGGTTGTGCAGCCCCGTCCCAGCGCTCCGGGGAGTAGGTTGCCAAACAACAGAGGCACCTCCCCCGGATCGCATCCTGACTCAAGGTCCTGCAGCTGCAAGCAAAAAGTCTCCCTTCTTGTTGTCAACGTCTACCTCCCTAGCTCAAGCCCTGTATATCTCCCACCGCCTCACTGACAAACTGCAATCTCCTGACCCAACTCGTTGGGTCCTGGAAATTCCCAGGAGCTCAAGATGCTCCTGTCCCTCTCTCTGCTCTCCCTTCCCTCCCGGGAGCTCGTTCCCTCCCCCGATAAAGCCGCTCTGAACCTCAAGTTCTTTGTCTCAATTCTATCTCTGTTCCGTGTCTCAGTGTTGACCTCTCAAAAGGCAGACACGGTGTTCCCTGGGCCCCTCAGTGCCGAGCAACACGCAGCAGCTTTCTGATCTGTGCACGTCTCCATGGGGAGGCCGGCTCAGCTGGCCGTGTGGAGGTGGAGGCCAGGCTGGGGCCCACAAGGGCAGCTGTTCAGGGACAGCTCTTGGTCAACAAACACTACAGTTGCTTCTGACTGCTCCCAACCCTGTAGGACAGGGCAGTGCCTCCTCCAGTGTTTCCAAGGCTGCTCTCTGTGCACGGCGGCCTGCCACATCTTTCTCCTATCTAGCCCCAAACCGAACCCACTGTCATTGAGTGGATTCCATCTCTCCCCTGTTGGTTGGCAGATGAGCGCTTTGCCACTGTGTTGCCAGCCTGCCTTGCAGGCAAACACACCTGGCAAGCCTGGCCACAGCTGGGCAGGTTCACATGTAGGATTGTGGCCCACGGGGCTGTTGCATTTGTTCCTGGTGGTGTGCGACCATGCTTGCCCCAGCCCCTTCTCAGAGCTGTTCCTCCCACATGTGCTGCCCCCACAAGCTTCTTCTCCAAATTTCATTGTTCTGTGTGACTGAAGCTCCCACTACCCTATTTTTTAGCTTAGGTCTTCATGTCACATGCTGACACCACCTGAGAGGTGGACTAGGAGCCCCTGCCTCCCTCTCCCAATTGGACCCTGTGTCGCCCCATCCGGTACTCGAGCTTAGGAGGAGAGGGTAGCTAGACAGTCTTCTACCCTGTTTCCCCCAAAATAAGACAGTGTCTTATATTAATTTTTGCTCCCAAAGATGCGCTAGGTCCTATTTTCAGGGGATGTCTTAGTTTTCCATGAAGAAGAATACAGTACACATTTATTGTTTTATTAAAAGAGACCTTGCACTCCCTGTCTGCTCCGGCTGCACTGCAGCCAACAGTGAGCTGTGCAGGGGCACCCACC